TGGCTGCTTTGAGAGGGCCAGAGGTCAAGTTCCACCAGAGGCTGACATGAGGGTGTGGGTCAGGGGTGGAGGGAAGGGGACTAGGCTGGAGGAGGTAAACTTTAAGATCCAGAGATTCTGACTGCCCTGACTCATGCGCTTGGAAGAGCAAAGTCTGGGGGCCTGGGCATGTCGAGACTCAAGGGCAAGCTGGCCTAAGGAGTCAGGGAAAAAATGGAGCTCAGAGGGGAAGTTCGGGAGCAGTATGGAGGCACCTAGGAGAGCAGCTCAAGCGGGCTCTGGTCCTGACTCTGGTGAGCTGCCAGCCACAGCCACGAGGACCTGGGCATATTCAGTTTGTAGATAAGGAGTAGTAGGGTGGATGGCAGGATTCCGCTGGTGCACAGAGGGCAATGCCCTCAGTGGCTTCAGAACACTTTCCTAGTTTTACCAGATAGATGCCTGGAGGCACAATCTTCCCCAAGGTTTTTTCAGAGCCACTTGCTGGCAACACTCAGTGCCAAAAGAGGAGTGGCCTGCGATGGCCCGCGGTGTGCCAGGGGTGTGCTGGGTGCAGCCCTAATGACCTCATGGCCTCACTTGGAACGTGCACGTTCTGGATCAGCATTCCTCAACGGCCCAGAGCTCTTGGGATCGCCAATGATGGGCTCACCACTTGGGTGAGCACGTGGATGAACTGGGCTCAAATCCTCAGCCCACTAAGGCTGTCCCACAGCCTTTCCCTTCTGGCACCTCCCCCTATTTCCTGTGGAGAACTCCAGAATGGAAGAAACTGAGAATGTGAGGGGTTCGAGACCGTGGCACGGATGCTTAAGGAAGCTCCTAACAAGTACCCATCTGCCTTCAGGAAAGAAAAATAATTCACTTTAGTCTTTCAAATTCAACGTTCATGACCAAATGCTGTCATCAGTAATCTGTGTCCCAACACCCCCTCCAGCAACAGCATTTTCCCATGGCTTTTGTTTTAGATGCTCTTTCAGAAATAATCTATGGGAGATGACAAAAGGCCCAGATACCCATTGCATTTTATTTCCTTAGTGAGTGATTGTGATACTTCTCTGGCTCTTTCAGTGTGTTCCCTGAGTCAGGTAAAGGAAATTCTTATAGTTAACCAGCAAGTCATTCTTGAGTATTTAATAATATTCTAAGCACTTAATCATACTTTAAATTGACTATTAATGAAGGTTTTAAATCATTTTGCAGCTCTGAAAGTGAATTTCTCTGCAGGCTTGTAGAGTATTAAGCCATTTAGATTTTAGCAAACAAGTATTATTCATGCTTTAATTCCTGAGAAAAAATGATTTAGAAAATGAGGTTAATCCTCAGTTGTCTGTCACTGACTTTAGCAATTACTTACTCCACGTGGGAAGTCCTGAGCTCAGGTTAAATATTCTTCAGGTTGTTCACAAACTTAGTGAACATTAGGGACCTACTTTTCAATTATTATTAAAGAAAAGAATTAGAATGCAAATCGAAGGCATTAAGGGATAGCGTTGCTTTAAAGTTAGCATTTAAGGTAAATAGGTTGCTTTTTCTTCCTCAAGAATTACTAACCCACAGGAAAAAGAATTAAACACATGATTTACTTGTAATGTTTTGTTTTTAAATGGAAGAATTAATACAAATCAGCTTCTCACCTGTTTTTTAAACTAAAGGACTGAATGATAGAACTTGCTTGACTAATGAGTAAAATATTAAAAAACCTTTAATTTGATATTGTGGAAAAGGTAAAGAAAAAAGGGGATCAAGAAGGGGACAGAGTATGAATGTTCTCACTCCTTTTCCCAAGATATGACCAATATTGGTTTTTCAAAATAAGCAATTCTTTAAAACAAGGGTTGGCAAACTTTTTCTGTAAAGTGCCAGATAGTAACTATTTTTTATTTTGCATACCACATACCTTCTCTTTTAATGAACCCTTCTTTTTAATGAACACTTTAAAAATGTTTAAAATATTCTCAGTTCACACTTATGCAAAAACAGACAGTGGGCTGAATTCGATTCTCAGGTGGCATAGTTTGCTGACTGTTACTTTAGATTTTAGAATAAGGCAAATGTTGTCAGAATTTTTACACTAGTAATTTTATATAAAATTTGCAAGTAAAAGTGTTTTTGACATGGAAACTTCCAATTTTTTAATGGAGAAAAGTATAAGCTTTTTGGAGAGTGGGAATCAGTGTGTAAAATTTCTCTTCCCCAAAATAAAAGATCATCTTTCAAGGAGTGGCTTCTCCATCCTATGAACTTTCATTTGGTATAGTTCTGCAAGCTTTGAAAAGCTTGTATATTTCCACCTTCAAGAATAAAATCATCCCCAAGTACCTCTTCCGCAGGCAGGATATTTCAAATATGAAGCTTCATGTCTCAAACTGGACTCTGAGGACACACTCTTGAGGTCACTCAAGTTCTCTACAAAGTTTTTGAGTTTCATGTTTTCATTTCTAAAGCTAATAAAAATAATTGATATGATCAAATATGAGATCATCTGGGCGAACACTGTGAAAACTGGTCAGGGAAATTCAGTGCCTACAGATTTCAAGAGTTCTGCCTACCAAGAATATGAATGAAGAACAATGATATCATAGCATCCTGTCCATGGAAGATTTGCTGCAGTTTGAGTAAAACATAAATTACAGTTTAGAAGTAGTATCTGCATATCAAACCAAAGGAACTACCACCTTTACCAAAATATAACCTTCTTCACACTATCAAATGTTTTAAAGAAACAGTGAACACTTACTTGTTGCATGATGTTTTCAAATTTAGTATTGTTTCTGTTATCTGCATATCATACCTAAATATGACAATGCAAATAAGATATTTAATTCCCAGTTATTTTATAACTAAATCTGGTAGCATTGAAGAATACATATATTTTCAAAATATGACATTCTCTCACTTGATTCTTATAGATGACTTACTTTGCACTTTAACAATTAATGTGTTTATGCAATTAGTGTCTTAGTGTAAATAGCTGATTCTGCTTTGTTATATTGGATTCCTAGCTAAAAATGCCAGAAAGTATTTTGCATATACAGGTCTCTTTCTATTTTATTTTTCACATGTGTAACTTGTAACTTTCATCTCAACTTTAAAACAAACTTGCTTTGGGAATTTCTGAATTTTTTATATCTGATTTCTTTCCTTTTGAAATGAAAATATAAATGTGATCCCTTTTTAGAGTTATCTACCCTTTCAAAGAAGGAATGGGGATAAATATAGTAACTCAGACTTTCTGGTCTCTGGCGGTTATTCATACTGTTAAAATGAGTGAGGAACCCAAAGAATTTTGTTTATGTGGATTTTATCAGTTGCTGTTTACCATATAAGTTTAAACTGAGAAATTTAAAAAGTATTTATTAAGGCACTTATAATAATAATAACAAACTCATTACCTGTTAACATAAATAACATGTTTTCTGAAAAATATTTTCTGAAATGGAAATAATCAGGGAGAGGCATTGTTTCATTTTACATTTTTTGAGGATCTCCTTAATGTCTGGCTTAAAGGAAAATAGGTGGATTTTCGTGTCTGCTTCTGCATTCAGCCTGTTGTATTATGTTGTTTTGGTTGAAGTATATGAAGAAAATCTGGCCTCAAACAGGCATGTGTTTGGAGAAGGGATGAACATTTTAATAGCCTTTTTAGATAATTACGGATATTCTTCTTTGATACTATAGCAAAACTTAACAGGCTATAATTTTCTTAGAGATGAGTTGCAACATGAAGTCTGAAATCATATCAATGAAATTTATATACTCTGTGACATTAAAATTCACTCATCTAAAGAAAATGGATTGATCTGTCTTGTAACTTGAATATTTTACTCATGGACTTTTTTATATTAAGTATTGGTCTTTTGGAAAAATTTGGTTCAATAAGATATGCAGATCTTGTGAGTGTTAGCATGTCATTACTCAGTATCACCAAAAACCACTTTGATTAATATCATCACCAATCTCATCAGAACAAAAATATATTTAAGTTTTGGAAAGCTGTCGAGTGCAAAATGGCAACTGCATCTTTTCTAAGATTCTCACTTTCATTTGTCAGTTCAAATCTTATCATTCATAGCAGATACTGCCAGGTCTTTTTTTGATATGGCAGACACACTTTGTTCATTTTCAAGAAAATGTCTGCCAAACACCAAATTCTGAAGAACCCCAGTTTGTCTGTCAGTCGTTTTTTTCAGGTACAAATAGTGTTCCATTTAAAACCTGGCTTATTCAGCCTGCACCTCATCTCATCAGCGCTTGCCTTGACACAAGTCCTATTTCAGTGGGCAGATTAGGGCTTTCTGCATCCTCCTATTGTATCCCCACAGAACATTTTTCTCAATGGTTGACATTCAGTAATAAAATTAATAATGTCTTCATTGCTTCATCTAGGACGTTCTCAAATGTAACTGTTTTTTTTTTTTCTGTTTTAAATATGAGTGGGCGATTTGTCATGTCCCTGCTTTGCACTGGGCCAAGGTACGTACCCACTATGGCCTTTGTACCAACATCAGTGTAAATGCTGAACATTGAAAAAAGCATATCTTAATATATGAAAATACCTTTCGCTTCACAAACCTTCCAATAGGATTTTAGAGACTTTCAGGGTCAGTAGATCATACCATGACAACTGCTGCTTTTTATTACAGGGAAATAAAAATTAAAAAGTAGGAAGGAGAATAAATAAAAAGTGGAAAATATTGAAATACTGAAAACTCTTAAATTTCCTTGCTTCCCAGATATTTCTGCAAACATTTGAAATTTCCTTCTTTTCAGGTATTTCATTAATTCATTCATGCAACAGACATTAAGCAAACACTTCTTATGTCCTGGCTGTGATCTATGTGCTGGGGACACAGAGATAAATTAGAGTTCTCTGACTTAAAGTAACTTACAGTATAGAAAGAGAAAAAGTGGTAAGTAAATAAATTCATGCAAAAGAATGTTACTGGCTCTCTGGTGAAAGTGTACCAAAAAAAGGGAGTGGACAATTCAACCTGAGGATGATGTCTAAAAGTTTTGTAGACATGAAGCAAGTTGAATCTCAATGTAGACATAGGCGTTCACTAGGCGGGTGGAGGGGGCCACCGCAGGTACAGAAGCTGGGAGCTGTAAGCAAAGAGAAAATGTGGTGAGGCTACAGCAGTAGGAACTATAGGTTACAGAGGGCACATGAGTCATTCATAGGAGTTAGTGCACTATTTGAGGACAACTAGGAATCACAGACATGTAGAGGAATAAGATTACATTTGAGGGCTAGAAAGATGACTTGAAAGGCTAAGGATGAGCAAGAGGGAAAACAATGGAAGCAATGGTCTCTTGGAAAATTATTGCTGAACTGCAAGTGGTCCAAGTACAGCTGCCCCAGGGCTGCCTTCCTTTGTTCTCCTTCAGAATTCTTCAGGCAGGAAACAATACCAAACTGCATGCTTGAAAGGACCTCAAATACTGGAGATCCATGTCCAGCTCTCCCAAGGATTCTCTTAGCCTGCTCTACCATGGTGAAGGGGGAGATCTGCAGCTTAACAGGTACCAGCCACTCATGGAGATACTTGTCTCCCCTCTCTGTAGCCCTCCGCCCCCCATCATTATAGGCTAGTGTGGTGTTAATTTTATGTGTCTCCTTGGAGGGTGTTTTGGATGAGATTGATATTTAAGTTGTTGAATTTTGAGTAAGCAGGTTGCCCTCTATAATGTGGATAAGCCTCATCTAATCAGTTGAAAGCCTGAAGAGAGCAAAACTACCAGCCTTCCTGAGCAAGAAGGAATTCTCCATAAGACGGCCTTTGGATGTCATGGGCACCATTAGTTTTCTGGGTCTTTGCTTGCTGGCCTTCAGACTGGAATTGCACCGTCAGATCTCCTGAGTCTCCAGCTTGCTGGCCCACCACTAGAGAACATTCACTAACACATCTCCCAATTATCTTGGGAGTTTCCTGTATTTGGTGTTAGTTCCTTGGTAGGCTAATAATACCTCCTACTAAGCCAACTTTTTTCCTTTGACAGCTTAATCCAAATGTGGCTGTTTATTTAGTCAAACTCACTTTTAGTATTTCTAACATGGCTTTCTAATGTCCCCTTATGTTTTTCTCATCATCAGAATTTAAGTTGAACTAAGACAACTGGAAAAGACTCATTTAATAACATTTTCTGTAACCTGACATCTTATATAGAAAAAAACATAGAGATTAAATATTTTAGATAATTATTTATGTGGCCTCTTTGGTTGCAAAAAGATTTACTCAGGTTACGTCAAGAGACAGGGTCAGAATATCATGCTCGGTGGAATGACACCTGTGGAAGTAAGGAAAACAGGAACCTTAACCAGCTTTCTTCTTCTTAAGTTTTAGAATCTAAACCAGAATACAGAAGAAGCCTCACAATCACAAATCCCACAGAGACTAGAGCACACTTTACATTCTGGAAAGCGAGTCGGATTCTACACAGCTCTAATGACTGGATTATCCCCTGGCTTACTCTCAAGTATTGTGTCTGCCTCCCTCTCCATCTTTCTGTGTATATATGTTCTCCTGCTACCCTCCAGCTCACTTGCCCTCAGTAACTTGAGTTCAGGGTCTCAAGAGTGTTGGTTTGTCCAATTAATCACTATTTTTCCTAGAAGGAAGAGCTTTTGGTGTCAGACCACCTCAGAGGCTGGTGGTCTGACTAGATTAGGTGCCTTTGGGTAAAACGTGCATCCTGACCCAGTTGTCTGTGTACAGAGTTTGAGAGTGATCAAGGGGGCATAATTATGTATGTGACAAAGGAAACTGTTATGTTATCACACACAGTATTTAACAAGTTTTCTTCGAATTCCCACTGCCTTTATAGTATTCAGAGAAACTAAAGAGGAAAAGAACATACTTTAAACTATTAAGGGAGCCCTCAGTGCTGCCTCATGCTTTTTGTAAGGAGGGTGTGGATTCACCCATTAAGAACTGTATACTTCTCATATACTTTTTAGTGTAAAAAGATGTAAATAAGAGCATAAGGATATCTTATATAATAACTGTATTATACAGGCTTAGGTTGGAATTCCACATTTACCAGCCATAGAGAGGGTCTTACAACCTCTCTGGCCTCGGTTTCTTCATTTGTCAGATTTGGATAATACTTGTCTAGTACAGTAGTTGTGGGATTAAAGGTAATAGTGTATGTCAAGTTCCTGGCAGAGGCAAGCGCTCTTGGTATTGTTATTTGGAAAAGTGCTGTGGTAAGCTGTTTACATTTACAAGACATTCACATTCTCTGAGTTTGATGTCGCTTGAAAACTTCTTTCCTGCTTGGTGGCCGACTTTCCCTTTTCTTATTGTTCTAAGAATACTTCTCCATTTGACCCATTGTAAATAGTAACAATTGTTTAGTTGTTCCATCAGAAGAGAAGAGCCTTCCTGGAGCCTGGCTGACAGAGCTCCCTGTCTGATCTGTCTAACAGCTTTGGAGCTGGAGACAAAGCACAGGGCTCTCACTTCCTCCCGTAGGAAGAGAACAGTGGCCCCAACCAAAATAGATCCTTGGTCGCCTTGCAAACACTACTCAAAATAAATACAAAGGAAATGAGGGCAAAAATCTACTGTGGTGGATGCTGAGACAGAATTCTTCTCCAAATAAAAAGTTTTTCAAAGTATATAGGAAGTGGTAATGGGTATTACAGCACATGAATTACTGTACCAGTTCCAGATTATAAATTAGCCTGCCTAGTAGTTCTGTTTGAATTACTAGAACATAAATAAATATCACATCTAGAGAAATATGCCTATGTAGGTACATTTACAAACAAGGATGGCCTAGTTAATAGTCGCAAGAACCAACTCGCCCATTTAGAAGAAAATTAGTTAAGATCTTGGCCTTAAAAAATAATAAACTTCAGCTTTCTCATATACTAAAACTTGGAATAAAAGCTATGTCATGCTTTTTAAAGCTTTATAACTTTTAAAATGAAAGCTAGATGCAAAAGATTGAGGGGTAGAGGGGACACCAAAGATATATACAAAAGTATATTCAAAGAGTATATACAAAAGATACACTACAAAAGTAAATTCAGTTAAACTATTGCTAAATTCATTTGTTTGTATTCAAGAAAGTGACCTTTATCAGTCATAAGATTTTTAATGATCTTCATGATTAAGCATATCTTTATGATTAAAGATAACAGTCTTTACCAGTCATAAATTTGCTAGTTTTTTGGTTATTTTTCCTTTGTCTAGACTTTAGCCATTGTCTAAGGGTCAAAAAAATGCTCAATCTAATTGAAATTCAAGGTCAACTCATTGATAATATTTGACAAATTATGAGGCATGTCAGGTCACATAAATTTGCAAGCATCAATAGTTTCATTTGCTTAAAAAAGTTGCATCTCTTCATTCATGAGAAAACCACTTTATGGGAAGATAGCATCATTATCTGCTGAAGTATTATTACATATCTGGAGAAGAAAAGTATGTGATGAACTTTATCGTTCTGTTTCAGAATCAGGGGAGGGTACTTCATTCAACAGACTTACTATAAAGGTTACAAGAATTAAAGCAGAATAGCACTGATAATAAAACAGGTAGATCAATGGAACAGAATAGGGCCCAGAAGTAGATCCAAGTATATCTGGAACTAAAAGTCGTTGGGGAAGGATGTATAATATTTGTTATATATACAACTCAAATGACATGTAATAAGTGGGACTGGGATAGTTGGCTATATATAAGCAAGAAAAAAACATCAACTCTTATCTTAAAATAGATCTGAAGGTAAAATCCAGATATATTAAGGTATTAAGTATAAAACAAGGAAAACTATAAAGATATTAGAAGAAAACTTAGGAAAACATTTGTATAGCTATGGACTGAGGAAAGCTTTCCTTTGCAAGACAGGAAACTTACAGTAACTAATTTTTTAAAAAAACTACTCATACTACAGATGACTATGTAGTTAATTTATAAAGGAAAAAAGGGAAGAATCAAACATGCATAACTTCTGTGTAATATAAAGCAGGGAACAAATGAACTTCTCAGAGAAAATATTTACAACACATATAAGACAATGGCTGAATATTTCTAATACACAAGAAGTTTTGCAAATTAATTAGAAAATGACAGATGTGAACAGTAATTCACAGCAGAGGAAGTACAAAGGGCCAATAAGCATGAGAAAAGATGTTTGATATCTACATTAGTAATCAGGGAAGTGAAAATTGAAACACCTTGTCATCATTTGGAGTGGAGGGGTGGTGACAGAATGTCAAACAATCCAACATCCAGTGTTGGTAAGGCCTGGAGGTAATTGGAATTCTTCAACGCTAGGGATGGTTTTGTCCAAAAGTAATCAACCAGTATTTGTTAAAATATAAAAATGTTCAAAAATTCAAATTTTAGTATCAGTTCTGGGTATTAGCTCACAAAAATAAGGTGTACAAGTTGTTTTTTAGAGGGAGGCAGAACTGTGTAATGGCTAACAGCGTGGCCTCCGTAGACAGACTATTTGGTTCAAATCCATAACTTACCATGACTTTGAGTAAGTTGTTTAATCCACATGTATCTCAGTTTTCCCATCTGTAAAAGAAAGGCGACAATATTTATGTCATGGAGTTTTATGAAGATTAAATGAGATAATGCATGTAAAGTGCTCAGAACATTTTCTAGTACTTCTAAGACCATAATAAACATTGGCTATTATTATCATTATTTATAATAACAAAAACAACCTGATTATCCATCAACAAGGAAAATAATTGAACAAACTGTACTATAAAACCTTTAACAATAATGAGGCATAACTGTATGCATATATTTGTCCAAGACATTAAGTGAAAAAGTGCAAGTTCCAGTTTGATATATTGTATACCCCCAATCTTGGAATAATAACACCAAATAAATAATTTCCTTACAGTGTGCCTATTTTTGAGATAATCTGAGATATGAGCCATATATTTTTTTAATTCCAGTTGTTCATTTATACCTCTGTCTCCCTTTACCCCCATTCAGGCCCCTAGGCTGCTCTGGGCTTATTGTCCCCATTGAGGTTTGGACAAATGAAAGAACCCTCCTAGCAACTGGTTCTAAAAAGTCAAATTTTCAAATATTTGAGAAGAGAGGGGTCTCCCCACTGCCTGACTGGAAAAGACACCTGAAATAAATAAAAAATATAAGTGTATAAACGTGTAGTGAAGGTTGGAGAAGAGATGCTCCCACTGGGGAGAGAAGAGAGAGTGCTAGAAGGAGAACAATGAGGGTTGGAGGGGAGCCTGAAAGAGAGGTGCCAGGGGCCACAAGCCACAGATAAAGCCTGGGCAAAGGGAAGATTCCACCTAGGTTGCTGGGACCTGAGACCAGAGGAAAGTGGGGCTTCAGTTTCCAGGTGGAGGCCAAGGAAGTTGGCTAAAACCCGCAGAGGAAATGGCTGTAGTAAACAGGGGCAGGTAGGAACTCAGATAGCCTGGCATGAATGACCATGGCTCAGGCATGGTACAGAAACCACCAAATCCCACTTGACAGAGTCTGACAGCAGGGGCCAGTGCATCTGTGGAGATCAGTGGCCAAAGCCCAGAGAGGGTAAAAGATGTCTCACTGTCACCATGGTTACCAAGAATCAGATGCTATCCATGAGCTACTTTCCACTTAGTTTCTGGTCCTATTTAAGCCCCCCTGAAATGTAGGCATAACAACAGGAAAAAGGAGGGTATTCTAAGTTAACTAAGTGACCTCCAAAATTATGGGATGCAATTAGAAATTAATTTGAGTTAACGAGAAATTAACTTATATTTCTTCCTCATCAAAGTTGTGGACTCAATATCAGTTACTTGCATTTTTATATGCTTAAATATAGATTAACTGAAATACAAATTATTAACTGAGGTTTGGACAAATGAGGTTTCTACCTAGGGGGAAAGACTAGATAACTGGAAGGGGAAAAAGAAAGTATTAGTTTTAACCTTAGGTACTTCTGTAATGTTTAAATAGTTAAAATCAGTCAGCATTACTTTTGTAATTTAGTTCACTGAATAGTATCAAATTCAAAGACAAAAAGAGCAAGTTCAAAATCATTCTGTAGTACATGATAAAGGTCAAGACACAAAGTGCCTGTTTTGGGCAAAGTATTATTATCGCTGTACCTCAATTTACTAATTTATAAAATGAGGAGATTGGGTTAAGTGACATATAACCTCTTCCTTCTCTGAAATTCTCAAAGTCAGTGAGTTTCCTATTCTTGAAAATGTACAACCAGATATGGTAGAAAAGAGTCATATTTGTGAGGGACGTTGGATAACTAAAGACCCTTCTGAGTTTTTGTTACAAGTAAAGATAACAACTAAAGGAACTATGGTGGAAAAACAGAATTGTTCTGAGAAACAGGGGTCTGTCTGTCAATCTTTGCTCTGCCACTTATTTTCTGCATGACCTTGGGCAAGACAGATTAAACACTTTGGATTTAAACTCCTGAAACATCTCTAAAGCAGAAGTTTCCAGTCCTGACTATACAAAAGAATCAGTCAGAGATTTTTAAAAACACACAAAGGCCATAGACCAGACAGGAACGTATACATATGTCACCAAACAACATATGCAAGAATGTTCATTTCAGCACTGTTGTAATAACTCAAAACTAGAAATCATCCACATGTCCATCAAGAGTGGAATGGGTAAGGAAATGCTGCTCTACTTAGGACCGGACACTACAGAGCAGGACGAACAAAGTTTTCTCATTAAGGTGGCAGATAGTAAATATTTTCAGTTTTGGCTGAAACTCAAACCATACAGTCTCTGTTGCAACTCAACTTTGCCACCATGGTGTAAAAGCAGCTGTAGACAATACAGAAACAAATCTGCCTGGCAGTGCTTCAATAAAGCTTTATTGGCAAAACAGGAGATTGGCCTCCTACTATACAGCAATGAAAATGAACAAACTACAACTACATGCAATAACATGGTTGAGTTTCACATAATGTTGAGCAAGAGAAGCCAGATACAAGAGAACACACACGGTGTGATTCCATTTATACAAATTTCAAAAATAGGCATAAGTAAGCTTTTCCATGGTGTTAGAAGTGAGACAATAGTGGTTACCTTGGGACAACGGTGACTAGGAGGCCTCCCAAAGGGATGTCTTGTGAACTGGATTGCTCTCCTCTGACTTGAGACTATGTTCACTTTATGAAAATTAATAGAACTGAACACTACAGATTTATACTCCTTTTTCTGATGTAAGGTTTACTTGGGTGAAAAGTTTACATTAAAAACATCGTTATTTCAGGGCCTGGTCCTGTAAGAGTCTGAGCAGTTAGTTGGGGATGTGGCCTGAGGATCTGTCCTAATGCAGCCTTGGAGAGGTAAGTGACGGGCCCAAGGTCACGTTCTTGGCAGAGCTGGCAGAGCAAGCTTCCAGTGCTGGGTATGGGGTGAGTCAGTTCTGCAGAGAGGTCACAGCGTCTGTCCTTGAGAACAGACTGGCAATCAGCTAAAGGAAGCCAAGGTTAAATTCCAGATTTCAGCCTATCACCTGAACATTCATTCTCATTGGTTTCTCCCACCTGGGCAGCACCCTGGGCTGGTTTCTGGAATTGCTGGGAAGCTGCCAGAAGGCTTTCAGAACTCAGCGTGACACAGCCGCCAGCTCTCTAAGCGGATGGCCTTGGCATTCTTTGCAGCTCCAGGCTCTTCTTATAAAGAAGGCATTGTGTTTTAGCAGACACAACCTGAACTTTGAGTTCAAACAGATACAACTTCAACTTTGCATTCTGGGTTTACGACTTGTGGGCAAATTACTGAATTTTGCGCAACCCAAATTTTCAGGCATAAAATCTCCCACTTCATCCTTGCCACCCCATGACATGCAAAGATTTTTTCTCTTTCTTTTTAATTCAATATCGCTGAGCCAAAATTGATGTGCCAAGTGCTGTTAAGCCTTTTGCAAGGATTAACTCATTTAATCCTTGTCATTGAGGAAGGTTCATTTATAATCCTCATTTTACACATGAAGTAACTAGGAATCAGAGAACTGAAATGACCTGTTTAAGTCACATAGGTACATAAAGGTAAAACCAATTTCCCACTGAGGAAGTCTGCCTGGGTTCCCATCCCTTAAACACTGCTTTGGGACAATGACAGTGTCTCACAGTTATCACCTTGTCTGCTCTATGGAAGAAATTCAGTAGATGTTAATTCTGCATTTACTCTTTCCTCAAAGAGCTATGAATTGGGGTTGAGGCCTGGCAGCCAGAAAATCTAGATTCTAATGGCTCGATAAATCACTTTTTACTTTCTTACTGGTTTAATAAAGACACTGGTTTAGGTAAATCTGAAATATTTCTTCTACGCTAAATGAATTGTACTCTCTATAAATGCTTGCTCCAAACAGTTAATAACTTTAAAATATTTTTGTCCTAAACTTTTATGAGAATTTTGCATTTGCTTCCATAATCTGAGTTTGTTTGATATTTTTTAAATGTATATAATTATTCACTAGCTAAGTCTCTCTCCATCACACACCCACTCACCTACACTCGCCTTACCCCATCCTGTGGCTCCTGTTTGTCCCTGTACTCTGGGCACCCCTCACTCATGGCTGCACATTTCGAAGGGCTTCCTGGAAGTGGTACTCTTGACATAGTTTTAAAAGCAGACATTTTTGTTGATTTCTTCAGTCCTCTGTGCCTATACCATTCTATTAATCTGTGCAGTATGGAAGGAAGCCCATAACACAGAAGTTCTCCCCAGACCTGAAGGGGGTCCCTATAATTCATCTACAACTAAAGAAGTTATTTCATGAAGACAAATGATACCTTTTTGATTATCTCACCAGTTTGGCAGATAATGCTGGATTTTCTGCAAATTGAAAAGTGGTGATGGTGATGTAGTTGGTAGTGATCGAGCTGATAAAATATAACCCCATCTCCACATGGGATGGTTCCTTATAAAGGCAAAGTTGAAACTTATGTATCAGATTTGGAAATCACTGGACCAAAAAAGTACATGCAGAGGGCAAACATGGTAAATTCACAAAATAAACTAAGAGTTATTTTTTATATTACTTACTTCCCTACCATTTGCCTATATCTAAAACCCAGTTAATGTTTAAGGGAGCATGAATTTTGTTCAAGCCATTTACAAAAGTAAAAACAGAAATTAACTTGAATATGAAGTCATAATTTTGCTCTTGACACAGGATTAGCACAATTTCAGAAAAACATTTAAAATAGGTTGTTATAATATATGGGATGTATATAAAGGCATTGCATTTTAAAAAACAAACCATAAAAATACACTGTTAATCCTGGAAAGCATATTAGCCAGTTGGATTGAAAGATTTGCATTCCAGTGATAAGAGTTTGGAATTCCAAAACACAGAAAAATGTCATCTTCATTGTTTTGCTCAACTTGGTTTTATTCCAGGAAGTTAGGAGACAGTGGGCTAGACAGTATCAATGACAAGTCATGATGTGAATGCTTCCTCTGAGACAGGAAATTCTCTCAGACCCTGCACATGACTCCCTGCAAAGCTTGCTCTTTGTTTTCAGTACATCCATTTGGTTCTTTGTGCCTAATTCTATGTATTG